GTCAACGCGGACCTGCGCGTGGGCCCGGCGCACAACGTGGCCACGCGGGATTCACAGATTCCAAAAATGTCCCCCAGGGATTCACAGATTTTCCACAGATTTTTCACAGATTCTGCAACCCAGGATTCACAGATTTTTCACAGATGCTGGAGGTCATGTTTCGGGATTCGCAGATTTTACACAGATTCTGCAACCCAGGATTCACAGATTTTTCACAAAAATAATTCTTTCAACCCATGCCAGAGGTTGCCAGGATTCAGGGTTATAATACTACTACTACTACTACTACTACTACTACTCCTGCTCCTCCTGCTGCTGCTGCTGCTACTACTACTACTACTACTACCACCAGTGGTAGTGGTAGTTGTCGTCGACGTACAACTTGTACAGGTTCTAGCAATTGATGATAATCCCGACGACCACCAACATTAACACTACCATTTAATTCAGACAAAAACTTTGCCACAGCTTGCTACGGAATGCAGTGGGGCCTACAAACGTTGGGCAAAGATATCTTTGCTGCTGCTGCTGCTGCTTTTTTTTGCATGCGTTATTGCTCCTGTTATATTGTTGTTGATGTTGCTCCAGCTGTCTTGTCCTGTCAGCACTCACAGGTCCGTGATGGCACCAGTAGCTGGCTCGAAGTTTGCGCAGCTGGTGGAACTCCACGACGGCCAGGGCCATAGGTGGGACGTAAGCAGAGAGGCTATGGTGCATGGGACTGCTTCGTGGTTAGGCGAGGGATTTATGGTACGATGTTGCGAGCCTTCAGTCCGAAACCGTAGCCATCCAAGCGCCAACGGAAGTTGTGTTTCACAACTCCCGCTCTATCTGATGTCAGAGGTATATAGGGCCTGGCTGTGTTTCCAGATTCGGAGGTCGTTACGTTAGCACGGGGGGCAGATTGTCTGGCTACCTTGATATTCTGTCTGTGCAGAACTTGAGTTTTAATGTCTGCGCTTAGCACGTGCCTTGCAGCAAGAGAGGGGGCTCAAGCAGTTACTTCTCCTTGCTGCGGTGCTTTGCATCCGATGCTCCCACAGATCCTCGGCAAGATGCGTGTCCTGCAACCTCGCCTGGGAAGTCTGGTCTGGAGGGCTCGAAAGAGCCTGGCAAGGCCGGCGTGGCTGTGCCGGTCCCTATCGTACCCTAACACTAACTTTGTGTTGATACCGGATGCGACTACCGAGAAATTTGCGGATTCGACTTCGGATTCTACCTGCAATGCCGAGGGAGCTGATGCTTCCAGAAAAGGCAGCAGCGCTTCTAACCAGCAAAGTTCCGATTATGATGGCCAGCCTCTCAACATGGCTCCACGGGGCATGGCAAGAGTGCCTTGGGCAATTTCTTGCTGAATCCTACGTTGGAGCACATCTGGAAAGAACAGACTTTTTAGGTGGGGGACTGTCGCCAATCATGCACACAGAGCTGTTCCATCGAGAGTTCTCGGAACGGCCGGCTGAGGATTATGGATACTCCAGGCCTCAACGAGAGCTATGAACGAGATCTTCCGAACATGATCGAAGTGGTGAAGTCGGCACACCGGCTTGATCGTGTACATGCAGTGATTTTGGTCATGAAGGTAGATTCTCGAATGGATCAGACGTACAAAGACACTGTCCTGTACTACCAGAAGTTGCTAACGCCAAAGGTCTTCAATGCGAACCTGATCATTGTTTTGTCTGGCTACAAACCACGGGACATGAAGTACCGGATTAAGCCCCAACTGCCCCAGCAAATCTTTGATCAGAGCGCAGCTGATGTCAAAAAGCTTTTAGGATTGTCGAAGGATCCCATGGTGCATGGCCTCAACTCCATGCCCGAGACGGAGGAGGATCTAGACGAGTCAAGCAGAGCTCGCAACAGAATCTTACGATCTGCTGCCGCGAACTTGGCTCCACCTCGACTGCGCGGCTTCAAAGTTCCAAGACACATGCTGCAGAGAGGCTGCACATGAGACAAGCAGCACGCTTGGAGGGCTGCTGAGTTGCAAAAAATGAATAGGCAAAAGAATGATGCGTTGGCCCGCGTTGGCGAAGATCCAGGAGCTTGCAATGAAGTACCCAGAGCTGCAAAATCCAGCGGTCGCACAGATCGACTCGGAGATCCGTATGTTGCAAGAGGAAGTTCGCAAGCTGAAGAGCCCCTTATACGCCGCACTGGACGAGGCGATTGCCGTAGCTGAGAGCATTGCGCAGGGGAGGAAGAGGAAGACTGAGGAGCGTTGTGACGGCTTTCAAGAAGGCTTCCCATTTTGGTGCAGCTGCTGTTCACACCGTGTCACTGCGCGCGCAGAAGTTCTGCACGAATCACCATTGGCGGAGCATTGCAGGGGTTTGTGTAGGCGCTTACAGTTGGACTGAAGAGTCCTCGAAGCCGCAAGGTGCAAAGCAAAACTATCTCGCAATGCTCGTGTGAATCACCTAGGCCGGCGGCAGTTACAGTGCCTCACGATGCTTCCTGCAAGGGTGATTCAGTTGTACAGCCATTTCATCACTGCTGGTTTGTATCTTGGGCAGTAAAGGCATGGCCGTGCCCCCCCCCTTGTCATGCCTGACATGAGTAGCATCTCAAACTTGCCAAAGCAGCAGTGCACGACGACAGCTGCTAGGAACTACATACCATTGCTATTCGAACAGCGCTCTCGCAGTAACCACTCGGCCGACACCGATCCTCTAGTAGCTCAGGACAGGTGGCGCAACTCACCGAGGAGAACGCTCGATTGCGAAAAGAGAATCAGTCGCTCGGCCCGGGGTAATTACTGGTAATCTGATTTCAGGAATTTGGCTGCGAGATCAGGATGCGCTGGCTTTCATGCCATGTGCAAGCTTCACCACGGCTTCCCTGTACATCGAAATCTGTCATCGTGCTTGCGAGGGCAACCCGAATGGGTCATGTTGTTTCGGGAGCTCACCTAGGTTTGCTTGCCATGCGTCACCTTGCGGAAGCATGTTCTAGTCGTTAAAGCACGTAGTCAGTTGGATAGATCACGATTCTCCAGGACCGTCGTGGAAGCGATATGTGCTGTGGCATCATTCCAAGAAAAAGCAGCACTATCACTCATCACGAATCCTCATGCAGGTTCCTGCGGGTGCAGCTGAAGTTGCCGGAGCAGTTTGAGCTGGGCGCCCACACACCGGTAGGTGGATGCTCGGAACACTCGAAACTTTGGCGTCGAAAGAGCTTCCGGGTGAAGAGTCCTCAGATGCTTCCACGATTCTCGGAAGAGCAGCAGATGTAGAAGGCAGCGGGTCCCCAGCTGAAGATTCAGGCTGGAGATCGATCAGCCGGAGTTTTCTGAAGAGGCTGCAGACGAGGCGCTAGAGAGCTGAAGTAGTAAGTAGGAACAGACAAATGTTGAGTCAGTGGAACACAGAGGAACATGGAGGAACTAGGTGTTGGCAACATCCAAGCAAAGGCAAACCTGATGGTGTAAGTCTTCGCAAGAGGGAAACAGAATACCTCATGATGTATGAGCCACGAGGTTAAACCACTGAGTCACATATTCATTAATATGGATATACGTTTATATATATATATATATACATACACATACATACATACCTGCATACATATACACGCATACGATAAGAGTAGTCTATGCTTTTCAAGATTTGCGCACCACTGCTCAGGGACTTGCATATCATACACATGCATAGGACACACACGTACATGTGTGCGTGTGCGTGTGCGTGTGTGTGTGTGTGCACTTGTCTTGTGAATTAGTCGTGGGCAGCCTAGCAGTCGAGTCGGCTTTTCCATTTGTCCTCCATGAGCTGCGTGTTTCTGCCCGAGGTGCTGCCAGAGTTCTCAAAGGATCGGGCATTTGTCTTGCCAAAATCTTTGGCTCTGGAAGCTGTGAGAGTCAGTCATTGCCGCCCTGAATCTAAAACATTGCAAAACCCCGGGGCGCAGGAGAGTTCCGAGCAGCGCGTTAGCTTGAATGTCAAGCGCATCAGCACTGTGAGCCTCCCCCGGATCAGCGGTGGCCAAGCTGGAATGGGCAAAGTCAGAAAGGTGTACATAGGCCAAGCTGGAATGGGCAAAGTCAGAAAGGTGTAGCTACAAGCCTTACTCGCCAATAGAGCCTCCTTTGGAGGTCACGATTCCTCGTTCGGCGCTTCACTTATCTGTACAACCCGAAGCATGAGCCAGCTAGAGGTTTCGAGGGGCAGCTAGTGTACATTGAGTAGACTATGTCTGGAGTTCGGAGACATTTAATACACATGGTTTTTACCGGCCAGATGCGTCTCGCTTCTGCAAGATGCTTGCCTGTCGCATCAGAGTTGGGCTACACAGGGTCTTGCAACACTCGGCAGCGAACAAGAAGCTCCATTCCTCACGGCAGCACGACCAGATAGAACAACTTAGACATGGCTCCGACGCAGCTGCTTGATTATGAGGTCCCTGCTACTACTGTCTACAAACGACTGGTACGAAGGTGACTAATATAGGGCTTCCATAATTACCTATGTTATTTTGGGGCTCCTTATTATAAATATATAGTATACTAACCCTATTCTAATCGTTAAGGCGCCTACATTACATCGTTGATGTTCTGGCGCTATGTTCGGCATTTCTGGTAGGCTGCAAGCAGCTGCCAGGCTGGTTTCGAGTAGGGTTCAGGGTCTACTTGGAGGATCATGGGACTTTGTAAGTAAGGTCATAAGTCCCTTAATTGGGGTTATAAGTATAGTTACCCTAATTATAACCCTACTTACTAAGTCCCATGATCCTTTAAGTAGGGTTTAGGGTCTAGGGTTCAGGGTTTAGGGTTTAGGAGATTGCCTTGATTGTGCTCTACTGCCATCAACTCATCGTCAGGCAACTGGGCATCCGACATTAGCTTTTGCTGAGGCTCTCGTTTCTAGTAGCACGGCTCAGAACATCCCGCCTGAAACAAAGTTGACAATGATAATAATAGCAATAATGCTAGTCAAAAATTAACAAAAATTTACATTAACAACACGAAGCATAATTATAATAAGAATCAAAATAGTTTTCATAAAAGCAATATTCCACTCTCTCGAGGTGCCAGCTTCGAGGCGGACCCTGCAGCAGCGATCCAAGGTTGGACGGAGTGCCAGCAGTAGAAGAGGTTGGGGGTATCTAGGTGTAAGGTCTCGATCGAGTTTGGTGCATGTGTATCTAGATCTACATGCATACATGCCTAGAGTTTGGTGTGGAAGGTATGAAATTAATGATGCAAGTCTTAGGCCTAGGTATGTCGTCGTTGAAGACACGCATGGCGTACGATGAGACGAAGAGCTGCCGGGCGGATGGAAATACTAGTATAGTTAAAAACCATCGAAACAAGAAGCATTAGGCAATATTAGGCAAAAGATTGAGCTGCTGCTGTTTTCTCGTGTTGTGGCTTCCAGTTCTGCAAAAGACCCTGTGGCCAAACGATCCATCGCGTAGCTCGAATGTTTGGGGTCTGTGACTCTTCCCCGGACATGGAAGCCCCTGCGTGCCATCATGCTGGGTCGCCACCCTCGCCCTGCACAACTCTGCGACTTAAGGCCTAAACCAACGGGACAGCCTTCCCAACGCAAGGCCCACGAGGACTCTTAGATGGAACTGTACATCCACAGGGCCACCCTGCCTGCTGGCGCGGCTGTCGCAATCGAGTGGCCGGCAGAGCACGGGCAAAGGTACCCTTCACTTGCTGTGTTTTGCTAAATATTTCTGCCATGCTTCGGGTGCGCACTTTTGTGTGCACGGCCTTCGGTGGGTTAGCTTGGACTTCTCCTGCAGTCCTCGAGTTTAGGGTTCGACTGAGGCCGAGATGCAAGAGAAGCCGAGCTGAAAGTCTGGAATCCACAAGTACTGAATGACGACTGTACCCACTTGAAACGTCAACCCAAACCTCCCGAAACCCTCTTTTTCCAAACCCGAAGAACACGGCATTTCCTGGTCAGGGACTCAGCCGCTCGATGCACCGCGAGCTTCAGGACGAAGGGTTTCTGCGTCTTGCGACATGTAGACAGGGTCGTCGACGGGCCGCGGGAAGATCTGGCATCTTGTTCTGCAAGTGCAGACTGGCAGAGTCATGACATCAACTGTTCCCGAAGTCATATATATATATATATATACAATCACTCGCGACGTCTCGCGACGGCGGCGTATGAAGGCTCCGCTCCGCACGGAAAGAGCGTGCCTCGGTGCGCCACAGCTTGCCCTTCACGTGCACAACGACTCCTGCAGTGGTGGGCTTCATGTGTCTCATGCGGAGCTCGGATGTGTAACTAAGTGCCTCAGGAATCACCGAGAAGCTCGTTCTCAAGAGCCGCTGGAGACGCTGCCCAAGTTCTAAATTCGTGAATGGCTGAATGGATTTGAACTGGGGAGTTGTTGCTTGGACACCACAGCTCGCGACCAAGGCAAAGAGATCAAGACCATGTCCGGCTCTCAGCGATGCAATTGACATCGGCTGTCTAAAACGCCGGAGAGACGGGTAGAACCGGACTGCAATCTGCTTCTCCGGTAACCATTGAACCGCCAAGATCGACCATGGGGACGCAGCTCCTGGAAGAGATGCACCAGACGGCCAGGGAACCTGGGAGCTTCAGACTCTGATAAGGCTCTGATAAGTGACAGCAAGACTCCTCCGCCGCTCGATGCGTTGTAAACCCTAAATCCGGGGTGGGATCCTCGCCTGGCTTGTCCGAGTTGTGAGAGTGTAAACCCGGGGTGGGAAAAGCAAGACCGTGCCAACAAAAACCCTAAAGCTACACTCAGGCACATCGAGAGTCCGCTGACGGCCGCTACCGTCGTCAAAATCAGGCCGTGCGGTCTCCCATAGAGGCAATGCTGTCTCGATCTGGCCATGTTCGTCGGCAGGCGCGGCGGACCATATTCGACAGGCTCGTTCGAAAGTCTGCAAGTTCAGCCGTGAAATCAAAGCAGTACCTTATGGGTGCATGGAGCCATTGACAAGACTTCGTGGCGTTCGCAGATAAAAAATGCCCCTGCCATTCCAACTCGATCCAGATCTAGCCCCATGATGCTTGCAGGGCGCGTCCGCGGTGGCTTCCGTTGCATCCCGGTTCGTTTGTCCGGCTGACCTGGGCCTGAGCCCTTGTGGGAAGGTGCACACTCTTGCTTGGATTTTGGCCGTGAGAGCTTTCGGAGCCCTTCAGTTTGGAGCAACCATGGCACCCCCAAAGCCGCAACGAAGATCATCAAGGTCGAGCCCGAAAACGCTCAAACATTGGCCCTGAGATGCCACGCCGCTCCGGGCGTTGAAGCCATGTGAAGCTCTTAGGATGCCCTGGCGCTGGTTCTACTGTGCCGGCAGCCTCAGACCTTCTCTTTGAAACTCGAGTCTCAGAAATCCTTCGTCCGAATAAACCATATAGAATCATATAGAGATTGACGGAAGTGGAGTCCTGAAAGCTGGAAGTCGGGACAGAGTCGTGCTGAAGATGCGTGCTTCTGAGTCTACGATGTGGTCTACATCCCTCTGGGTGCCCTGGAGCCTCCCAGAACTACGGTCCTGGCCTTGAGCCTTCACAGGAGTTCACAGGAAACTAGTTGAATTCGTAGAGTCATGCAGATTGAGTGAGCTGCAAGTGGCAACCGCGGTCTTGTTAAGCTTCTGGTAATTACTGGCCTTTTGTCCCGGAATACGTGAGCCTTACCAAGTTCACCGACGTGCTGGAGTGGCTTTCTCTGGTCTTCTGGACTCTTGACATGGTCATGACCTGTTTGCCCGGTGCCCAAGGAGTTCTAGTGACTTTTCTGGATACTTCCTTGTGATTCTTGTGTGGATGGTTAAAGGAGGCACGTCGATCATCTCTAGGCATTCCACTGGGTCAAGACGCTTGCAGGCTTCCCACACTCTTGAGAGTGTGTATTGTGTCAGACATTTGAATGAGAATCCTCCGCCGGCGCCTGCTGCTGCACCCCCCCCCACTAAACCACTACGACTATCACTCCTGTGCTACTGCCAGTGCTGCTACTGCCACTACTATTAGTACCACGGCCACTCCCTCTACCACCACGACGACGACGACGACGACGACGACTACTACTACTACCACTATGGCTGCTACAAGTGCTAGTACGACGGGCGTCTTCCGCAGACCTAGTATGCAAGAAACGTAAGTTTATGCGGCACAAAGATCACAAGAATGCTGCGATGGTGACAGAGACACTTTGACCGGTGCTGGGAGCACACCACAAGCTGAGCTGGATAAATAAGGTCGGCATACTACTACAAGGGCGAGATCGTGACCGAGTTCCGATCCTTGCCAGCATCTCTTGCCACCGCTAGTCCAACAAGCATCCTTTTCCCGACGTGGCTACATGGTGTTGCGCGCGTCCAGATATTATAACGACGAGTCATTGATACGGTATGCGATGAAACTTGGGTGGTATCTATGCTGCACCTCTTGAGCTTCAGATTGGTCAGAACCTCCGTGCTGCCAGCGAGATTTACGAATCACATGCACGGCGTCGCATATGTTGCCTGCAAAACTCGTCGGACAGGTGAATACTTGTAGCACATCTTCGTTTGAACAGCGACCGAACCGTACCATCCGCAGCTATCTCTCGGACCAGGACGCATTGCGAAGAACTACCTGAAGACATGGTGCCTGCCACGGGAAGTTCTGTTCAATCCCTGCCTGTGCCTAGTTGCTTGTTCAATGTTGCTGGTTTAGCATATCATCTCGCCCACTGCCAAGTGAATGACACCGGCACATCATCGCAGCAATTGTAAATTAGCTGCTGCGTTTATGTGTGGCGTTCAGTTCAATGTCTTGGTGGTGTGGCCAGGTTCTTTTTGGATGTCGTGGTGCTGGCGGGGAGCTCAGCACAGCCTCTTTTAGTGTAGGGGACAAGGCACAGGCCTCAAATCTTGCAGCATCGCCTGCTTCTTTCTGCTCCCGACTGAAACTCATGATGGGAAGCTTCGTCACGTGAGAAGTGCAAGAAGTAGCAAAAGCGCAAAAAGGTTTCGTGACGGGATCGACATCCGATGATGTTGACAAAAGTGGAATCATACGACATACTGATATACGGTTACAGTCATTTTCGTACTCTAACAATAGAGCATTAGTTGCGCAGCCGGCAGGCGCCCGATTGGATGGAAAGACTGGGGTCCGCCGGCGAAGAATCAGGCCCAAGGGGGCATTCGGATGCTGAAGCCTGCAGCCTATGCACCTATGGAGTACTCCTGTTCCGGTGGGACGGCCGCAACGGCATTTTGTAAACGCACTCCGCAGAAAGATATGCTTCGACTGTCAGGAGAGGCCTTCAAAATTATCCGGTCCTTTCGATTCTTGCGCACGCCCGGGCCTCGCACGGTGCGGCGGCATGTTCAGCGAGTAGGCCGACAAGGGCAAGTTGGAAACTAATGATGCTCAGATGGCAGTGTATAGGTCCGAGTTGCAAACAGTTGTGAAGTGAGGATCGGACTCAAGACGTTGTAGATATGGTCGGCGAGGTTACGGCTGCTGCGGCTGCTGAAGCTCCAGAAACTGCTGGCTATGGTTCAGCCCTCAAAAGCCGTAATCGGTCTGGCTGCTGCTGCTCTTGTCAGTTTTCGTCTTCTTCGTCCTGTGAATGTTCGCCTTTGATTCGTCCGCTTCGTCTTTGTGCAGTTTGTTTCTCGGGTGGAATGCTACGATGCGAACCCTTGCCGTGCTGTTGCGATGATGTAGTAGGGCTATCGTCAGCACAACGGCGCTGAACTATTGAATGCTTGGGGTTCATTTCAGTAATCAAAAAGGGAGCCTTACGTCCTTTTCCCGTGTTGTGTTTTCTATGCTGTGCAGTAGTCAAGAATGCCTCTTAGCTGCCAGTGAAGGTCTATGACTTGATCGACAGTGAGTTCACGCACGGATCTCAAGACGCTTGGGATTCTGGTCCCCATCCCTGAACAGGAAAGCAGAGAGCCTGAAGCATAGGCCAGTAACTCAAATCCTGCTCGTTGCGCGTTCCAGAACTGACGGGCTTGAGCGACCTGCTGAGGTTCATTATGTTCACATGCATCCGCCTGATCTTTTTCATCGTTGTCCTGAACCACTGCATTGCTTGCGTGTGGCAACCTGCCCTGAGAATCTTTGGAGATTTCTTTCTTTCTCGTTTGTGTGGCTCCTGCGAGCGCTTTGAGCATCGGTGTGGTTTCAGATCCCGCAGGAGCCGCGTCTCACGGAAAGTGTGATAAGTCTTGCACCCATGGAAGTGCAGTGCTCCGTGCGTCAGGTACTGGGTTGGGAAGTCGTCGCTTGAGGGCGGGTATGACAGCTGGATGAACATAGGCGCCTTGGGCCAAGAAAGCCAATCAAAAGACCGAGCGAACAAGAGATACAGAGAACATATACACAGATACGTATGCATGTGCCTTTACATGCATTGTTACATAGGTTCATAACACATTACATATTTACATACACACATGCCTGCAGGCCTGCCCCCATGTAGATGCAATATTATCGTGCTCGTATCATGTGTTTATACATATATATATATATATATATATGTGTGTGTGTGTGTATATGAAAGGATAGATGGATGAATAGATGCAGGTAGATAGATAGACAGACAGAAATAATCATGTGCATATGATGTGTTGTTGGTCAATTTTCCTGGAAAATTGCGCAGTATGCCGCCTGCTTCTAAAGGCCCAAGCTTGGCAATGCAGGTGGCATCCCCATCATCGAGGCTAGCTTCCCATACCGCTACACTACGTCGATGCATTGGAGTTTAACTCAGCCACTCGGATTGCACGGTGAAAGGCCTCATGACTCATGCCCGGCAGCTTGTGGGTGAGTCATGGGCCGTGGACGAACACGAGCTTAAGTGTCGAGTCTTCAGCTGGCAAGGTTCACACCTGCTTCAATGGAGATTTCGGTGCCTCAGCCGCAGCTAACACATGATATCTTTTGCAGCTTGGGCCCCGCTTCAACCGCTGAAGCCCCGTCCCATGGGTTTCGCCTCGAGACGAGGCTCGAAACACTGGCGAACGAGCTCTTCTGCCGCACACAAGCTTCAGTCGGCTAGGCCTTGTGTTTTCACATTGAGCAGGGCAGGACATAGATGCATGGCATGGGCTAGCTTGAAGGTATGATGAGCTTCATGTTGTCCAGTGCGAGGGCAGTCACGGCTTCCTCCTGCAGGGTTTGCGCATCTATTGAGAAAACCCAAGTCTGCGGAGGTATACATTGATGGATATGAGTTGGTTCATTAATTAACGTATGCAGCCACTTAGTCTGCCATTCCATCAGGTTGGAAATTGCCAGCTGTGTCAAAAGGCCCGACCAGCTTAGACTGGCCCCGCAAGCTGCAAGGTATTCTCGATCATGATCCTCTTCTTTGCGCTGATCGTTTTCTCTTCCGTGATCGGCCAGGCGGCTTGCGCTTGAAGATGGCTGCACTGTCATGAACCAAAGGCTGCGTGCCTTGCCAGGTGACCAGCTCCATGATGTCTCTTCAGAACATGCAGGCCTTGCGCGATGAATTTTCTGGTCACGGCGCAGTCAGCATCGCCATATGCTGGCATGCATATGTTCCAGAGGCGGCAGAAGTCCGACCCGACCGTACTTGTAGAACCAAGTCTGGAACGTCGAGACGCCTTCTTTGCACATGCGCCAGGCCAGCAGCAGAAAGCAGTTTTGGCTTCTGCGGCGCTTCCTGAATGCTCGCAAGGCCGCAGAGAATCCTGAAGTGATTCAGTGTAGAAAAAGCTTCCTTATCGTCTGTATATACAGCGGGGTAGGATATTAGCATACAGGGGAGTCTAGGCCGCACCGGGAAGGTGCCGAAGAAGAGCCGCAGTCGGATCATCCGCTTCTTGGAGCAGCGCGTGCCGAAAGAAAGGCTCGGCTCCTTGGGGCTTACAGTTACCTATAGTCTCCATTGTAGTTCCTTTTTTGGGTTTAACCAAATATATAATAAGGATTTTATAAGGTATCCTACAATGGAGACTATAGGTAACCCCCAGAAACCGGATTAAGGCGAAAATAGTGCTGGGAACATGATCTCTCTCTCTATATATATATATACACATATATGTGTGTGTATCTACAAATAAGTAAACAAACACATTGATGGATAGTTCATCATTATGTAATTAATTGTGTATATATATAATATAATTATATAGGTGTGTTTAAAGATCTATCTTTCTCTCGATCTCTATAAACAAGTGTGTATATATATAATAGAGAAAGTAAATAAATAAATATAGATAAATACATAAATAAAAATAGACAAATAAAAAATAAATATATAAATGTAAATATAAATATTAATCTATATATATATATATAAAAATCTATATATATATATATATATAAATCTATATATATATATATATGACTCTGCGCAATCCGTGCCCACGTGCAGTCAGAAAGTGCAGCAGAGGGACATCAAGCCGGGGGCCTCAGCATCTCCCAGCAGACTGATTACGAGATTTCCGTGGGGAGCTGAAGACCCTAACCGCCCAGGTACCTACTATATGGGGCCCTAGGGGCTCTAGTACCCTATATAGTAGGTACTTGGGGAGCTGAAGACCTTGTTCAAGTTTTAGCTCAAGGCTGTTCCAAGGAGGCTGACGCCTTGGCGGTGGCCGGCAACTTCAGAGCTGAGCTGAGCCTTGGCCGGCCTGAAGTGGGCCAGTGTCGGGCTTTCCATCGTTTGTCTGGCGTTTTTGGCGCACGACCTGGACAAGAACGGAAGGAGTTAGCACATCTCCGGCCCATGTCCGCTTTCATGATCCTCGCGTTCCACGTTTCAGAAGTTCTCGCCTACTAGCAGCCGTGGTTGTTCTCTTCGCCTCCGCCACAAGGCTAGCCAGTGTCGTAACTCTCTCCGCCTTGGTCCTGTACCTCCGCGCCTGGTAGAGCCTCGAGGGCAACTGGATCGTCACCACGAACAGCAACGACAAGGTCCGACTTGGACGAACAAGTCTGCATTACAGGTGGACACCTCTTCATGATTACGACATCCGTAAGCGTTGCCAAAAGCTCGCTGAGCACCTAGCCCAGTTCGAGGCTGAACGCGAGGACTGCATGTCGGCAGAAGAGGCCAAGAGCAAGGCGGAGCAGCTGCAGCTCTGGAAGGCCGTCCTGGAGAGGGCAGTCCTGGGAGATGGGTGCGAGCAACTCCCACGTCAACTTGTGAGAGCCGAGGCCCATATCAAGGATGCATAGGAGCAGAAGGCGATGTACAAGGAGCCTCGTCGCCGATTGGAGCTCCAGCTTGCTGAAGTGAGGCAGCCAGAAGACAAGAGGATGCGGACGTAAGCCTGTGTGTGAAGACGGTGTTGCGCTTCTTCAGGGCTGTCGTTCCGAGCGGTGGAATGACTGTTGATTGTCGACAGAAAAGCTGGTGCAGCATGGCTGAAAAAAGGCGGAAGAGCTGTGTGCAGGTTTTG